AGCTCCCGCGTGGCCAGGAATGAACTTGCTGTAAACATTTAATTCACCAGATTAATTTTACCTTCACTACACCAACATAATATCCTCTTCATATAAACCGTCTATAATTCTATATAATAAATCGGTCTTCGAGTATATCTTTAGCTTTCCTGTAGTACCCAAAAAGAGAGCAAATAATCCTGAATCAAAGAGAGAGAGAGAGAGAGAGAGAGAGAGAGAGAGAGAGAGAGAGAGAGAGAACTTGCTTAGTGTTACATAAGAACCCTATTCATAAAAAGAAGAAGTATATATGTCAAATAACTGTTCCGTGCTACTTGTTTTCTTTATCACTATACGAATCACTAAAGTGACCCCAGTTCTATTTGGTATTGAGGTGACCACTCTGAGCTGCGACAGAATCAAAGGGATATTATGATTTTCTTTTTTTCCCCGTAACACCCCCATCCGTCTCGTCACGTCTCCATTATACTCCACGTTGTAGCCTGGTAATGGGTGGATTGTACACTTTAAGAGCAGATTATTGTACCATCTGATAGTATTGTGCATTTCATCAACATCTCCTGGTGGCTGTGGGCAGAATTAAGTTTCATCGACTGTTTTACGAGTTTAATATATGTGTACATTCCCTCAACAGCCGATGATGAGTAAAAAAAACTGTTGTATTTACCAGTTCTTTGTTCAACACTCAAGACGGGTTTAATTGATAGATACTGCCCTCTGACTCAATATTCGCCTCCAACTTTATAAACACATTCTTAAACGCAGCAAATGCTACTTGTCAACCATGTATACAGACAGCGCCTAGTGTTGCGGCAATCAGTAAAACTCTGCCTGAAACATATTATAGAACGAGCTAAAACTTAACGTGAGAATGACAAAGACATCTTGTGTGTAAAACGAAGTGAAAAACCTCAGAAAATTTGGTCAAAGTCAACTAACAAACTTTTACAAACTACTTTCAATCATTTGCAGTGTACTGTTTTGTAACTGTTATTCTATTTATTATGATGTGTAAGTTGAAGTAATATGAGATTTAACAGTGTTTATATACTGAGGACACCCTGCTCTTTCACAAGAAGTTTACTCCCAACAACCACAACAAATGAGTTCCGTTATTAGCGGGGCTCTGTTATGGTTAGTGAAGAACAGAACAATGTAGATATACTGTAAGTAACGATAAGGGGGAAAGAAGATATGTATATAAAACCCAAACATTAAACTTAAGTAAATAGAATACGCAGCACCTACACAGAACGAAATAATGAATCCCAACTCATTAGTAGCCTAGCATAAGGAAAAAATTGTGAAGTCAATTCAGATAATCCATAAAAAATTTCTTTGACGATAAAAATACCACAAAGTTATTATGAAACGCATTAAAATATATAAAACACCTATGTAACACCTGGACATCAGTGGAAATAATCATATTGCCTGAATTATACAGTACATACTGTAATAAAACTACCTGGGTGACGTTAAGATGAACTCGAGTCGGCAAGCTGTTGTATGTGCAAAAGTAATCCTGTAGAGACGTAGCAGAACCATCACAATAGTCCATAGCGTAAGGAAACACACACCAGGATCACACCAGCCAAGAATACACCGACCCGCAGAAGGAGGGAGGAATGTTGGGAAAGGCCAGCCACCACCCGACCCCCGCCACTGAGCACACGAAAACACCCCATCAACTGGATGATGGTTAATGAGTAGTAACCGAAAAGCGGTAGAAGTGAAGAAAAGTGATGAGGTCGTCCCTTATAATTCTGAAGATGTATGAGAGTGTAAAGAAGGTAAACTCTTCAGTAGCTTCAGCTGGGTGACTGTAGAGACGTAAGGAAGTAGAATCGGTTATAAACGCGTATGCGTGCCGTGGGTGTCAACAAAGGCTGTAAGAGGCTGCTCCTTAGAAGTCGTATTTCTGACGAATTCAGCTCGTCTACTAATCCCAGTCTGTGCAGAGAACTATAGTAAGACCCAGTTATCAGCACAGTGTCATCTTTTTTTTCTTTTTTTTAAAGTTATGATCTTTGTCATTTTTGTTTGATAAGAACATCTGGTCCTACCACCCGGTCCCTCTGGTCGAAGATTTTCAAGTGTGACGTAGCAGTTACGTCTTTACCACTCCACCTCAAACAAGCCAAGCTATCTACCTGACTGCAGTGTTGCCAACATGCCCTATGCCCGCCGTTAAACGCTCCCGTTTGTTGGAGACGGCGGCAGTAGGTGACAGTGATGCTGACGACTTTCATCTTGAAGACAAGTCTAAGAAGCAGAAACCTCAGAAGTCAGGGTCTCCAGCAGGGGCTACGGCTCCCCCTCGCACCTGGTCTGGGGCTGTAGAGGGTGACCTCCTTCTACCGTCGGGGTCTCCAAGTGAGCTTACATGTGGCTCAATGACCGACCCTCCGCCGACGATGGACATAGGGGGATTCTCTTCGTCTCCCTGCCCCGTCGCGTCTTCGTCATCTCTCCTTTCCTCGGGACTTGCCTCTGAGCACACGGACGACTTGGTTCTTCCGTCACTGCTCTCCACTTCAGGACTCATCAAAAAAGTGAGTAAATACATTTACCATTAGTACCACGTCCATCACCACCTGTTACACATTGGTTAAAGATTACTCATCATAGTTCAGCTTCTATTAAATAATAGTTAGTATTGCTTCTGCTAAGGAACACTGACACCTGAGCAGTGATTGCCCACTATGCACAAGGTTGAAAAAGATTAAACTGTGTTTGGGTTCCATACTTATACCCAGAAATAAGTCTGGTTCAAAAAACAGAGCGTGTATAAAAATGTTGCAACAACCATTTCCCATGATGATGGAAACGAGATAAAATTAATACTGTATAGCAATAGAGTTAAGAGAAAGATAACATAATTATCAACATGTTATTGGAAGTGAAACGTTTTAGTCTTCAGAAAGGCTATATTGGGGTATCTCAGCATCAATTATATCGATGTCTGAGGAAATTAAGTTGGACATAAGAATAATTACTGGTACTTTTGTCAATAAATTGTGTTATAATATTCACAAGATATATTAAAGATGGTTACAACATTAGTTTTTTGCTTTTAATCTAAGTTCCAGACGATAGTACAGGAATGGGTAACGATGGAGTACACAGCAAACACCTCAACACCTTATTGATTTGGTTCATTTTTGCACAATTGTTTGAAAGGTGATTTACTTAACCAACCTAACCCAACCCGGTTTTATTTACCATTTCCAAATACAGTATGAGAATAAAATAGTGAGAAACAAATAGGAAAATATTACAGCGAATTTAATTGTGTTCAAAGTATGTGCCGGGTTTGTATACTTTTTCACAGGGTAGGTTAGGTACGGTTAGGTAATGTTAGGTAAGGTTAGGTTAGTTTAGGTTAGGATAGGTTAGGTTAGGACAGGTTAGGTTAGGTCAGGCTCTAATAGGTTCTGTGTATTTCTTATAAAGCATCTGAACAACATCTGAAAATTTGGCGAAATTCCATAAAGTCGCCATGGTGTCTGACTGTCTCGTATAACATTACCATATTGGGTACTTTAGAAAATGAGCCTTGGTTCATGTGTTTTACTCACATCTTCTCTGTTTGCTTTTCAAAATATTCTTTATACTTGTGTCACGCTTACTAAATATATCTACTTACTTTTTTTTGTCCTTTGAGAAGTAACGAAACCTCAGGTCTTTATTGTTGTTTTTATTTGTGCCGCATACAACACATTAGTGAAGCTCTTTCCTTTTCGCCTTGTTTGTGTCACTGTCAATTCTTCATATCACCATGCCCAGCGTCCAAGAGTCAAACCAAACAAGTGACGCAACTTTTCCCGCCATTTAATCAGTTCCATCTAGTAGCCAGGCGTGCGCACTATGCGGATCTACATTAAGTAGCTTTAAGACGAGCTTCCTCCTAAATACTTTCCTTGATACTGCACCTCCACTTGTATAACGATTTTATTGAACGGAAATCTCTCTCTCTCTCTCTCTCTCTCTCTCTCTCTCTCTCTCTCTCTCTCTTTCTCTCTTTCCAACCATCACATGCATGCGGATATTGTGTCAGCCAGTAAGACACCCGAGACGACTACACACTCTACCTGGAACACAACAACTGCACTTTACCAACAGCCAAAACTGTGAAATCTGATGCGTTTACCAAGTCAGGCGGCAACGCGTAGCACTGGCAAGACTCACCCCCAATTAACTTCAACCTTTCAACATCATTCCTCACATAATACTTGTCACTAAGTTCTTAAGTGATACTATATTGAGTGAGAAATTCTATTCGATGCCTAGATATTGAGGAAAGAAAAGAAATATCTACAGATATATTATTTACGCTGTGAGAGAACATAGAAAATGGAAATTAGTACAAGGAAGAATGGATCAATTTTTATGGTGACAAGCATAAACAAGTATTTCATATAAAACCCTTCGAGAACTCATTATATTTTATTCTAATGGCAATATATCAAAGAATTATTGGTAAAATAGTTTTTACTCACATATCATATAAGTAAATCAATAAATAAAATTATCTTTGCTCTAGTAGAGGCCCCGTGCATAGAGCATGCCACAACTAAATTAATGACGAAGTCGATGATGTACCTAATGAGGTACTTTAATATGTTTAAACGTTTGTATTCAACGTTTGTGTTGATTAATTCTTGCTTTTCCAATTAATTATATGTTTAAACGTTTGTGTTATTCAACGTACCAATTAATTAAATGCTTAATTTTACTGAAAGTTTTAGTTTTCATTTGAGTGGGTGAGTGGGTAGAGTGTAAGACAAAAGCCCCCTAGGACAAAAGCCCCTAGGACAAAAGCCCCTAGGACAAAAGCCCCTAGGACAAAAGCCCCTAGGACAAAAGCCCCCTAGGACAAAAGCCCCTAGGACAAATGCCCCTAGGACAAATGCCCCCTAGGACAAAGCCCTGGACAAAAGCCCCTGGGACAAAGCCCCGAGGACAAAGTCCCCTAGGACAAAAAGCCCCTGGGACAAATGCCCCTGGGACAAAGCCCTTGGACAAAAGCCCCTGGGACAAAGGCCCCGGGACAAAGCCCCTGGACAAAGCCCCTGGGACAAATGCCCCTGGGACAAAAGCCCCTAGGACAAAGCCCCAGGGACAAAAGCCCTGGGAGGGGACAAAGCCCCTGGGACCCCTTGGGACAAAGCCCACACAAAGCCCCCTGGGACAAATGCCCCCTACAAAACAAAAGCCCTTGGACAAAGCCCCTGGGACAAGGCCCCCGGGGACAAAAGCCCCCTAGGACAAAAGCCCCTGGGACAAATGCCCCTGGGACAAAAGCCCCTGGGACAAAAAGCCCCCTAGGACAAAGCCCCCGAGGACAAAGCCCTGGGACAAAAGCCGGGACAAGCCCCTGGGACAAAAGCCCCTGGGACAAAGCCCCTGGGACAAAAGCCCCTGGGACAAAAGCCCCCTGGGACAAAAGCCCCCGGGACAAAGCCCCAACAAAGCCCCTGGGACAAAGCCCCTGGGACAAAAGCCCTGGGACAAATGCAGGACAAAAGCCCCTGGGACAAAGCCCCTGGGACAAAGACACATGGACAAAGCCCCTGGGACAAAACAAAGCCCCTGGGACAAAAGCCCCTGGGACAAAGCCCCTAGGGACAAATGCCCCCCAAAAGCCCTGGGACACAAAAGCCCTAGGACAAAGCCCCTGGGACAAAAAGCCCCTGGGACAAAAGCCCTACAAAAAGGACAAAGCCCCTGGGACAAAAAGCCCCTACAAATGTACAAAAGCCCTAGGACAAAAAGCCCCTAGGACAAAGCTAACAAAAGCCCCCCGCCCCTAGGACAAAGCCCCCATGACAAAGCCCCCAGGACAAAAGCCCCTAGGACAAAAGCCCCTAGGACAAAAGCCCCTAGGACAAAAGCCCCCGAGGACAAAAGCCCCCTAGGACCAAAGCCCCTTGGACAAAAGCCTAAAATGCTGTTAAGACCGCCCTGAGAATGCCCGTAAGAGTAATTGTGTGTGTGTGTGTGTGTGTGTGTGTGTGTGTGTGTGTGTGTGTATGTGTGCCATATGAACACACACCAGCAGCAGGACCTCTTCCTTCACCCCTCACAAGAAACTCACTATTTCTTCTCATTTTTCACACTCCACTGACAACGATAACATTCTCCTCAAACAATAAACATCGCCTTATCAGAGAATGTCATGTCCCTCTGTTGTGTGAACGATATTGACCCGTACTGAGGCCGTATCCCTCTAAGTTGTGAATTTGATATAATCTTGAACTGTGTTTTGTATGGGGATATTTGTCATATATACACACAGACACACAACAACCATACAAATACACATAGTCATTATACATAGATACAGAAAACAACTATATACAAACACATACACTATCTATCTATCTATCTATCTATCGTCAATATGGTTTGGGTTGCCGACCAATGGCAGTGGAAGCGGAAACAGACACGTTGGAGGGGAGACTCAAAGAGATGGTGTTTACCTTCGATTCTGTTGCAGATCAGAGTCACCGTTTGAATGACAGGTCCAGAAGGGTCTGTTCCAGTGAACTATGATGAAATACTTAAAAAAAATGTGTTAAAGTATTAGCATTTTGATACCAATGTAATGTAGCACAAGCGAGTTTGTTCCAATGATATAATGGTATAATTGAACACTCGTTTTGGTAAAAGGAAAATTTGATGTTTTTAATGACAAGTGAATAACATTTTTTATGCACACAAAAAAGAGTAATACGAACAAAGGTACAGAAATGAACACGTTTTCTTTTGAGTGAACTGATATGAGCACGTTTCCCAGCACTCACATGAAAGAACTAAACCGGCAGTAAGTCTTATAAGTACACTACACTGGAGCGTGTTTATTAATATTTTCATCTCATAACCGCAACTAAGAGAGAGAAAGAGACAGACAAATAGACACGGATCGAGATAAAAGTATTAGAAGAAAATACATACATACTGTACTGTACAGCCCTGTAAATGTTTTGAAAGCTTATCATTATGTCTAAATCACATGTAAGTTTGTATATTTTCAGCCACTGACTGCAACTCTATTAATAAACCGTTTATTATGATTATTATTATTTTACATACTACATACAAAAAGGGTAGATTGTAACGCCGTACAAAGAGGCAGTTAGGATATTTGTGTGAGTGGCTAGGGAGGTGCTGTGAGGTGATGGGTTCGAAACAATAAGGCATGAAGCACCTTACCCAAAACTGGTTTGTTCCAAGCTGATGAATTTTGAATCCTTGTTCCCTAAACGACACTTTTCTCCAACACCTCGCTGTGGTTAACTCCTACCTCGTGTTGTCTGTTGTTGTGCTGTTGTTGTGCTGTTGTTGTGCTGTTGTTGTGTTGTGCTGTTGTTGTGCTGTTGTTGTGTTGTGCTGTTGTTGTGCTGTTGTGTTGTGCTGTTGTTGTGCTGTTGTTGTGTTGTGCTGTTGTTGTGCTGTTGTGTTGTGCTGTTGTTGTGCTGTTGTTGTGTTGTGCTGTTGTTGTGCTGTTGTTGTCTGCTGTTGTTGTGTTGTGCTGTTGTTGTGCTGTTGTTGTGTTGTGCTGTTGTTGTGCTGTTGTTGCTGTTGTGCTGCTGTTGTGTTGTGCTGTTGTTGTTGTTGTTGTGTTGTGCTGTTGTTGTGCTGTTGTTGTGTTGTGCTGTTGTTGTGCTGTTGTGTTGTGCTGTTGTTGTGCTGTTGTTGTGTTGTGCTGTTGTTGTGCTGTTGTTGTTGTGCTGTTGTTGTGCTGTTGTTGTGTTGTGCTGTTGTTGTGCTGTTGTTGTGCTGTTGTACTGTTGTTGTGTTGTGCTGTTGTTGTGCTGTTGTTGTGTTGTGCTGTTGTTGTGCTGTTGTTGTTGTGTTGTTGTGTTGTGCTGTTGTTGTGTTGCTGTTGTTGTGCTTGTTGTGTTATGCTGTTGTTGTATGTTGTTGTATTTGTGCTGTTGTTGTACTGTTGTTGTGTTGTGCTGTTGTTGTGTGTGTTGCTGTTGCTGTGCTGTTGTTGTGTTGTGCTGTTGTTGTACTGTTGTTGTGTTATTACTGTTGTTGTGCTGTTGTTTGTCTGCTTTCATTTGTGTTGTGCTGTTGTTGTGTTGTGCTGTTGTTGTGCTGTTGTTGTGCTGTTGTTGTATTGTTGTGCTGTTGTTGTGCTGTTGTGCTGTGCTGTTGTTGTTGTGTTGTGCTGTTGTTGTGTTTGTTGCTTGTGTTTGTGCTGTTGTTGTGTGTTGTGTTGTGTTGTGCTGTTGTTGTGCTGTTGTTGTCTGCTTTGTGCTGTTGTGCTGTTGTTGTATGTTGTTGTTGTGCTGTTGTGTGTTGTTGTGCTGTTGTTGTGCTGTTGTTGTGTTGTACTGTTGTTGTACTGTTGTTGTGTTGTGCTGTGTTGTACTGTTGTTGTGTTGTGCTGTTGTTGTGTTGTTGTGCTGTTGTTGTCTGCTGTTGTGTTGTGCTGTTGTTGTGTTGTGCTGTTGTTGTGCTGTTGTTGTGCTGTTGTTGTGTTGTGCTGTTGTTGTGCTGTTGTTGTGTTGTGCTGTTGTTGTGCTGTTGTTGTGTTGTGCTGTTGTTGTGCTGTTGTTGTCTGCTGTTGTGTTGTGCTGTTGTGGTCTGTTGTGTATATATTTTTTTGTAAATTCCTTTAAAAAGTAGACCAAAACTATATTTTTCAGCACAAATTACACTGTTTTTAATCTTTGGTGTTTAAATTATAAACTTTTTACAAAAGTATTAAACTATCGAACTATATCCCGCCCACAAAAGTATAAGATTATCTCTCCGGTAAATTACACACGGTGATAATTTCTCATTTATTTCCACTCCGAGAGAAATTATTTAGTTAATGTGGCTGGAAGTTTTCATTTCCTTTTGAGATGAGTTATGGGGAAGGAGACTCTCTCTCTTTACCAACCATTACTAACCTACCAAAGTTTCACACTAAAACTCAATATATTTTTATATCCAAGATGATCTATTATGATACTCTGGCTCCGTTCCCAGCTGACAATACGACCTGCAGACACTACGACCAGCTGACAACACGACATGTTGGCACAACGACCAGCTGACAACACGACCTGTTGGCACAGCGACCTTCTGACAATACGAGCTGCTGACAACACGACCTGTTGACAACACGACTTGCTGACAACACGGCCTGCTGACACTACGACCTGCTAACAACACAACCTGCTAGCACTACGACCTGTTGACACTACAACCTGCTGACAAGTGACAACACGACTTGCTGACATTACGTCCTACTAACAATATTACCTGCTGACACTACGTCTATTAACAATATTACCTGCTGACACTATGACCTGCTGACACTACGACATGTTGACAACACGACCTGCTGACACTACGTCCCACTAACAATATTACCTGCTGACACTACGACCTGCTAACACTACGACGTGCTGATAACACGACCTGCTTACACTACGACCTACTAACAACACTACCTGCTGATACTACGATGTGCTGACAACACGACCTGCTGACACCACGACCTACTAACAACACGACCTGCTGACACTACAACTTGCTGACACCACGACTTGTTTTATAATGGTGGTCACTGTGGCGGTGATGGTAGTGGTGATGCTCCCCGCCATGGCAACACTACCATGAACCATGAAGAACCATTACCCTCATCGGCAGCTATGGCAAGTCACGTCAGGTCTTTGCAAACTGTAGGGCGTGGAGTGACGACAGTGCTCTAACCTAACCTAAGCTGACTTAGCCAAATCTACCCTAACCTAACCTAATCTAGCCAAACCTGACTTGTCTTAACCTAACCTAATCTAACGTAACCAAACCAAACCAAACCAAACCAAACCAAACCAAACCTAACTACACCTGACTTAAACCTAATCCTAACCTGTTCGTGTTGACTAAATCTTTAAGATATAGCTTGAGAGAGACTTTATCCTTTACCATTCAACTTTAACTCAGAATCACTGTTTCTTTAGTTGAGAGACATAACCGAATGCAAGAGAGATAAAACTGTCTCTAAGGGGGCCACATAGTCTCGCTGTGAGATACAGTGTGGGTCCTGTTATATACACTATCTCGTATTAGAAGGAGACATTGAGAGAAATATTTATCCAGAGAATTTATATTTATCTATCAAAGTAACTCACGAGATGTAGTAAGTCTCATTATTATGAAGAAACTCATGAAATGGTAAAATATTTATATGCAAATGGAACATAAATAATTCAGCCACATCTAGACCAAGGTAAGTGAGTGATGTAAACTGGAATGTATCAATCACGAGGCGAATTCGTCTGAGAGTCAGTTTAAAGTTGCATTAAATTACACTCAGAGGAGACAAAGGTCAAGAGATTTACTTAACAGAAACTATTGCCTCACGGCTCCTGGTCCACGTTCATCTCTGACAGTTAAGAGAATGTTTGTGAGCAAGTTGGCGAAACTAAACTTTGCTGTTCTAGTTCTCCAGATTAGAACTGGGTGTTGATATACAGAGGTACTGTACGTTGGGTAGGGCAGGGAAGATAAGTGAATGATGCTGGTACAACCCCTGGGTGGACCAGCATCCTGTCAAGGTGGTGAGTAACCCACTAGCTGCTGAATGCCAAGAACCAGGACATCAGCACCGGGCCAGTCTCTCTGCAACATAAAATATAAAAAGTCTGTCAGAGTAAAGAAAAAACAGACAAAGAGAGAGAGTGTGTGAAAGAGAGATAACAAAGAGAAGAGACATTCAGAGGGAGAGAAAGAGAAATAACGGATTGAAAAGGTGAAAGAAATGAGCAGTACATGAACCCTGGCCGAAGTTTGCCAAAGAAACTAAATA